AGGTTCTGTAGGTCAGTGAGGTTCTGTAGGTCAGTGAGGTTCTGTAGATCAGTGAGGTTCTCTAGGTCAGTGAGGTTCTGTAGGTCAGTGAGGTTCTTTAGATCAGTGAGGTTCTGTAGGGCTCTGCCAGCATTTTTTCTGCACATCCTGATAATCCCTGAGAGTTTGTTCTTGTTTCTTCATGTCAGAAGTCCAAACCAGCAGATGAAGGTGAAAGTTAAAAGAGACTCAATAAAACATTTTCATAAAAGTAGAATCAACATTAAAACTGCAGCTTCTGATAAAAAATACTTTCTCTGTCTTCTTACAAAGCGAGTTCACATGGGGGTCAAAGGTCAGTTTGTCATCAAGAACAGTTCCCAGATGTTTATATTGATGCACCACCTCAGCTGCTTCACTAGTAATGACCACAGGAGCTGCAATTTTTTCCAAATGGGTAAAATGTGTCTTTCCTAAAATGGATTGCTGCAGAGTACATCTTCTGGTGGATCTGAGTCCTTCCAGGCTTCTCTGTCAGTCTAGATATCAGTCTTTGAGGAGCCCTCACTCCATCAACATGTCACATCATGTGGTTCGTCCAAAATGTGTAAACGTCTTCATTGACAGTGTTGTGTCCATTTGTCTCCAGCCGTCCTTGGTCCCACTCAGTCTCTGGAAGGTCTGCCGACAGCCAAAAAAACCGACCTCGAACTTCAGGGACGGCACGTTTAATTCATGACCTTCAAATATTTAATCTTGAGGCTAACCATAAAACACACTCCTCGGGACCGAACCAGTCCAATCAGAGACAGGACCAGCCGCTACAAAACTCAACACACAGTTCTAGACTCATCTGGACTTCAGGAGACCGTTTTGGGATTTTACTCAATTATGTTTTTTATTTTGAAAGCAGCAAACAAATGTTTGTTTTGTGAAGAAAAGCTGAAGGTCTGTTGTAATCCTAATCTGAGCATGTTGTCTGCAGAAAGCAGCTCATGTTTAATCTGTTTTTGAGGTCAGAACTCATTTAACCCTCCTGCTGTCCCTGGGTCAAAATGACCCTCCAGGCCTCAGTTTTGACCCAGGGACAGTAGGAGGGTTAAACCTTTAAAGGGCTTGTCCAGTCGACATTGAGGTGATGTTCTGTCCAATTTTTACAATAGTTAGCTAACGGCTAGCCAAACAAGGCCCTGTTTGTAATCATCACGTTTATAAAAGCTTTTTTTTCACTGGTTTAACATTAGCAGACACTAAACCTCTTTAGGATGAAGTGTTGTTCATAAATGAACCCTCTGTGGTGTTTATCTTGTTGAAAAGCTAGCATGGGTAGCCATTAACCTAACTTGGATGGAGACTTTTTCCAGACTTTGTGCTCCAGAACTGATGTCATGACTGATAAGTTCCCAAATATTGATCATCTTTGGACAGAACCTCATTATTTTAAGTTGCCTGGATGGTCCCTTTACTTGACCCCCCAGGAGTCTTGAGGTGTGATTGTTGGATTCTGACCCAGCTTGTGTGTCTGCAGGTATCTGGGGATCTGTCACCCAATGAGGACCATCACTCTGGAGAGCAAGCGGGTGGTGAAGGGGATCTGCGCCCTGGTGTGGGTGGTGGTCTTCGTACTCACTTGTCCCATCTTCAGGTTCGCTCAGACAGGGTGCGTCATGAGAGGAGGCTCTGGGGCCGCTGGGCCTGAGGGGGTGAGGGTTTGTGGGAACTGGACCTGGGAACTGTATGGGGAGTGGTATATGAACTGCTGGGACGACGCCATTGACAAAGAGTTTGCTGAATACGTCCCGTACGGCATCGTCCTCCACATGTTGGGCTTCTTTGTTCCCTTCGTCATCATCGCCTGGTGCTACTCCCATGTGGTCCGCACCATTTTCCAGACGCTGCGGTCTCCACCCAGTTCAGTTGAGGGCGGGGACGACGGTCCAGTTAGTGACGGAGCAGCAGAAGGAGGCCGAGATCGGGAGCGAACTTCAGTCTCCATCTCTGGATCCCAGTACTCGCACTACATCCGACGGCGGCGAAAATCCATCAAAACTATCCTAACCATCACGCTGCTGTTCGCGCTCTGCTTCCTGCCCTTTCATGTAACTCGAACCCTGTTCCTGCTCCTGCGGCGAGGCCAGCTTGGTGGCTGCAACGCCATGAAGGCTGTCTCCATTTGCTACAAGGTGACGAGGCCGCTGGCCTCCTGCAACGCCTGGCTCAACGCCCTGCTGTACTTCCTGACCGGAGACAAGGGCGCCCCCTGCTGCTGTGTGGAGAAACGGCTCGTCCACCGGGACCGACGCAGCGGCTCCCTCTGGTGGCCGCTAACAATTCTGAGAAAGGACGGCGTGGGCGATGACGACCAGGAGGCAGCAGAGAAGGTCGAGAGGGAACTGAACAAGGAGGATGAATCCAAGTCTTCACGGGTCATCTTTTAGGTTGTTTCAGAGGAACCATCTGCTGATCAAACTGTCCAACAGAACCCCAGCAGTGGTGCTGAGGGCTGTTTCAACCCAAACTGGATCAAAATGAAACGACAGATACTTTGAAGCTGCTGCATCAAACTGGACACAAACTGCAGAGAAAAGACCAACCTTCCTGTGAAACCAGCTGAGCAATATTTGTTTGGTTCTTTCAGGTCGTCTTCAATCCACAGATATTAGTTTAATTTGTTTTAGTTGTTAGCTCTTCGTGGATGTTAAATTAACGGACATGTTGTGATTAAGCCGTCTATCATTATAAATGTGTTTTTTGCTGTGATTTCTCACATGAAACTGTGTTTATACTTAATGTTTTTAATCCCAGGGTTATTTTCAATTAATCTCTAACGTGCAAACTTAAACTTTACGACGTGAGAGGAGGAGCTCTGCGCCGCAGTCCTCCTCTCACCTTGTTGTTGTGCATTTTAATTGTTTTTTGTGTGGATTAAAACCTGTTTCAGGCCTCCGCACCATGCGTCTGCGGTCTCGTTCATGTTTAACGCACAGATCCGTTTGTTCTCACAGCTCATTAATCGGGTTTGTTTAGACCAGACGCTTCCTGTTGACCTCTGACCCTGACCGGCCTGTCCTCAACTGAAGATCAAGCACGTCTTTACAATTCTTATTTTTCAGGTAAATTGAGCTGAAGTCGTCATCCTGCAGCTTTTTCCTGTAAATATTCTTTTTTTTAACTAATGCTGGGAGCTAAAATCAGTTTATCCTGAAATAAACAAAAATATGTGAGTTTCAACACAAAATATTTTAATCTGAAGAAAAAATGGAGAAAACGACAGAAAACAAACAGGATCATCCTCTGGGGATGAGGAACATAAAGCACAACACGTTTATCGATCTGAAGATTGAAGCATCGTGCTTTTATAACAAAGTTTGTGAAGCCTTTAACAATTTTTATATTTCTAAATCAACATGACCTAAAACATCATCAGATTTTCACACAAGTCCTAAAAGTAGATGAAGAGAACCCAGTTAAAGAAATGAGACAAAAATATTATATTTGTTAATTTATTTATTGAGGACAATGATCCAATCTACAGTATGTGTGAGCAGCAAAAGTATGTGAACCTCTAATCAGTTAGTTTGAAGGTGAAATTAGAGTCAGGTGTTTTCAATCAAAGGGATGATGATCAGGTGTGAGTGGACGCCCTGTTTGATTTAAAGAACAGGATCTATCAAAGTCTGCTCTTTGACAAAACACGAATCTGGAAGTCACTTTAGTCCCGGGGGGTGGAGGAGGTTGGGTGTGATTGGAGAGAGCTAAAAAAAAAAAAAAAACTTTTTGGCCGGATAATCGATATTTGACTAACTTTCTTTTGGACTTTGGAACTGGCGGACATTTGCATAAACTGGTTTGTGAATGGTTCTGATGGAAACACAGGTATGAGCCCAGATGTGGATTTTCAATTCAATTCAGTTTATTTATAAAGCGCCAAATCACAACCAAGTTGACTCAGGTACTTTACAGGAACATTCACATAAAAGCCAGTTAGTAAAGTTCTCTATCTAAGGAACATGGAATAAGGAACATGGAATAAGGAACATGGAATAAGGAACATGGAATAAGGAACATGGAATAAGGAACATGGGTAGAACTATAGCGACGCGTGTACACACTGCGGCCTCTCGCCTCCCGATTACACGGTGTTTGTTAGTTTTTCTGGGCTGTTTCAGTGTATCGCTGTTTCAGTTCCTTTAAGCTCTTTGATATGGCCATATCCAGATAGTCAGCAGGATCTGTTGGACATTTGGAACAAAGAGATCTGTAATATCTTGGACAATGGAGTCATAGCGCAGGAAGGACTCGGAGTATGTGGCGACTCTCGAACCCGCCTGTGTTTCCACGTCCGGAGAAGAGACGCCAGAAGCGGTGCGAGAGGAAACTGAAGAGGGCATGCGTGGAGGTGTCCGGGTGAGGGTAGTGGTGAGTAGGGGTGGAAGGAATGAATTACAAATACTCACATTACTGTAATTAAACAGATTTTTTGGGTACTTGTACTTTTATGAGTATTTATTTCAAGTGTGTAATTTTACTCATAAGTACATTTTAGACCATGTAATCTACTTCACTACTTTTAAAATTTGAATGAACATTCAAAGCGTTCATCTTTGCAGCAACAAGGCTCCAGATCATGAACGCACCAGTGACCTACAACGTCAGCAAAGGACAACTCTGTAGAGCAGAGAGTCAGTGATGGACCCAAGACTTGGAGAAAAAGACAAAATGGAGACGGAGGACAGTGTCAACAGAGGACACGAGGAGGTAAAGGCTGAGGACGAGTGTCCGTACCTGCAGGAATGTTTCATGTCCAGAGGGTGAGAAGGAGACGGAGTCCAGATGTGAACTTTGTTTGATCTCCACGGTGACGGCAGCGAACGAGACTTCAGCATCTCATCTAAAAAACATGTTGGGTACGAGGTCTCACAGCTGCCTGCATGATGTTGTTTTTTATTGTCTGTATGTGTTAGTTTGGATAAGTATGCAAAGATCTTAGGTACTGTCACTGCCATCGGTTTGTCTGGTGCTAAAATAAGACGGAGCTTCAGAGAAATGAGTGCTCTGAATGTACTCTGTTATACACAGTACCTCAAACTGAATGACTTACTGACAACAATTAAACATCCAGTGGTTAAAAACTAATACTCTGAGTAGTTTTTGAAAAAATACATTGTACTTTTACTTAAGTATTTTTATAACACCAGTATTTTACTTGTATTTGAGTATGACTTCAGCAGTGTAAATACTTGTACTCGAGTACAAATTTTCAGTACTCTTTCCACTCAATCCAATTCTCCCAGCTACACCGTCAGTTGTGCTGGTGATTGTACGTTCCATGGAAAATAAAATGGATCATATCCGACTGTTGAGGTCGACAAACCGGACGAGAGTAACTTATTATTACTGAAACATGGCTAAATGACAACATCCCTGAATTAACTGTACAGCTAGGGGCACTGACATTTGGGAACTATGGCAAGCCCTTTGAACATAAAATCAATTAGTCTGACTATCTGTAGTTGCATTCTAGAGATCTAAAAATGAGTTCTGACTAAGAACTAGAGTTTGGTCAAAATGTAGTTCAAGATATCTGAAATGACACTTGAAGGGTCAAACATCCATAATTACAATTCAAGACATCTCGAACGTAATCATGACTAGTCAGAACATAGATATGATATCTATGAGTCAGAATGACATGTCTTGAATTAGGAAATTACCGTAGGCCCCCAGACTGTCACTTAGCTGTTCCAACAGTTGCCTGCATAGATTTCTGGCTGATTTCCTCAGACCTAGAAGACAAAGTGATCGATGCTTCTATAGAACCAACAATAGTGACAGATCAAAGATATCAATTAAAATAGATGTAAATACTGACAGGCAGGGTCAGAATAAAGATTACTGGAAATTAAACAACTCCTTATTAAAAAATTAAGAATTTAAAATTCAAGTAATTAGACTAATAAATACTGGATTCAAGCAACTTTAATTATTTTGGTAAAAGCTGGGAATTATTTAAATTTAAAATTAGGAATATGGCGTAATAGAATAGGTAAAAAAAAACTAATTCAAAAGACAAGAAAAAGAATCCCAAATAAATGTAATTACGAGAATATCAGAGAAAATCGAGCGTTTGTGTTGGACTGACAGACCTCTGAATAAAGCTGAAGTACTTTATGATTTTTCTGCCAAAATGCTCCGTAAATCTGTGACGTTTTGACTTGTCCAAATAATTATTCTAGATAAGAAAGTCCATGCTCAATAATCCAGGTTTTCAATCCAACATTTTTCAGTCAGGTCATCTGGACAGTTTCTTTTTTTTTATGCTGAAACGTTTCGCCTTCGATCCAGAAGGTTTCATCAGTCAAGGAAACAACAAAACTGATTCTTCCCCCAACAGCTTACTCCAAAGTGGAACAAACCAGTTCTGCTTGTGATAAGATGGTCTCTTTGGTACGCCCCTCCTCCCTTGCAGGCCCTCTTCCTTGGTGACAGTCTTATCAAACTGGTTGAAAACAACAAAGTCCATGCTCAATAATCCAGGTATACAATCCAACATTTTTCAGTCAGGTCATCTGGACAGTTTCTTTTTTGTTCTGAAACGTTTCAGCACAAAAAAAGACACCTTCCAGATGACCTGACTGAAAAATGTTGGATATAATCTTCAATATCGTTCTGACTAGTCAAAATTTTAATTCAATACATCTTAAATAGAAAAGCCCTCTACATGAAAAAAATATTTGATATCTTGAATTCATTTGGAAATTTCTTAAAAGGAATTTTGACTAGTCATGAGTACAGTTCTAGAAATCTCTAAGTTAGTTTCTCCTAATCATCATTTGCTATCAAGATATGCAATTTAATTTGCGCTAGTCAAATCCTTCCATGTGATATCTAAACACATTTAAGATATCTTGAATAATGATGTAATTTAAAGATCTTTAATTCGGTCCAGTCCAGGAAGTAGAGTTGTAGTCTTCCACAGCTCTCTGCTGCTTCTCCTCCTCCAGATCAGGTTTAGGATTCAACACAAGCCAGACACAGAGTGCAGAAACAAGAACAGTTTTTATTGATTTGAGCTGCTGGAGTCAGGATCAGAAGTGTTAACAGGTCCTCACAGGCCAGGGAGAGAGTCACCTGTCAGCAATGATGTCACTGGCAGAGCAGCTGCAGGACGTGGTTCGTGTGCGGTGCAAGTCCAGGAGGCGAGGGGAGAGGAGGCGAGGCGAGAGGAGGCGAGGCTTCACTATCAGTGACCATCACGAGTGGTGTAATAACTGGGCACTGGTGGAGAGTGAGAATGGAGCGTATAAAGGCTGCAGAGCAGGTGAACTAGATGAGCTGAACAGGTGAGTGGAATCAGGGCTGATTGCTGTGAGGAACAAGGGAGGCGTGGCTTGGAAGGAGCAGGCTTGAGCTGGAGATGGGTGATAGGCATTACAAAGCAGGGAAAGAGAAACTATGGCATGAGGGGCTGAAACAATACCAGGAGGGAGTGAGTGTGAGACAGGGGCCAATGGGGGGTCAGCGGGGGCCGCTGACCATGACAGTGAGTTAATGAACTGATAACTGATCATCAGATTGATTTATTGTGTCTGACAGGAACTTGGCTACAACAGGAGGATTTTGTTGGTATAAATGAATCCACTCCTGTTAATTATTTAAATGTTCATGTTCCTAGAACAACTGGCTGAGGTGGAGGAGTAGCTTCTATTTTTCAGTCAGGATTATTGATTAATGCCAAACCAGTTATTAGTTATGATTCTTTTGAATCACTGTCCCTCAGTCTTTCTCATCCTAAATGGAAATCAGAAAAGCCACTTTTACTAGTTGTTATATATCGTCCACCAGGCGCTTACTCTCAGTTTCTGTCTGAATTCTCAGAATTATTAACTGACTTATTATTAAATACTGATAAAATCATCATAATGGGTGATTTCAATATTCATGTAGATGTTGAGAGTGATAGTTTAATCATAGCCTTTAATAATTTAATAGACTCATTTGGTTTTACCCAAAACGTCCGCACATCTACTCATTCTTATCATCACACTCTTGATTTAGTTCTGACCTATGGTGTAGAGATTAAGGACTTGGTAATAGTTCCTCAAAATCCTGTTCTGTCCGACCATTTTTTAATAACTTTGAGTTTACATTAAATGACTACACAGTCACTGAGAGTAAATTTAATCTCAGCAGGTGCTTATCAGAAAATGCTGTAACCAAATTGAAACAATCTCTTCCATCAATGTTTCCTCTGTCTTGCAGAGTAATGCATCAGAGAACAGAGACTTAGATCATCTAGTTGATCATCTTACAACTTCAATGCAAACTTCACTTGATAAAATTGATCCACTGAAAAAGAAAGTAATCAATCAGAGGAAACTGGCTCCTTGGTTCAATTCTGAGTTACGTACTTTAAAGCAGCATCTAGAAACCAGGAGAGAAAATGGTGCTCTACTAATGTTGAAGGATTTTATTTAACTTGGAAAGATATTCTGCTAACATATAAAAAAGCTCTCCGTAAAGCTAGAACTTTATATTACTCATCTTTAATAGAGGAGAATAAAAATAACCCTAGGTTTCTGTTTAGTACTATTGCTAGGCTAATTAAAAGTCCCATTTCTGTTGAACCATGTGTCCCTACAACTATAAGCAGTGATGACTTCATGAGATTCTTTATAAATAAAATTATTTCAATTAGAGAGAACATTCAAACCATCCTTCCTTCTACTATCTCTAGTCCCCTGTCAAATGAGGCAACTTTAAAAATTTCACTAGAGCCTGATTTATGTTTGGACAGTTTTTGTCCTGTTGAGCTCTGAATTGTCAAAAATAATAACCTCATCCAAACCATCCACATGCCTAATAGATCCCATCCACATGCCTGCTAGATCCCATCCCAACCAGACTGTTTAAAGAGGTATTCCCCCTAATTAATGTCCACATTTTGGATCTACTTAATTTGTCTTTAATAAACGGTTAAGATTGCTGTAATTAAACCTTTACTTAAGAAAAATAACATTGATTCAGAAATTCTGGCCAACTATAGACCTATATCTAATCTAGTTTTCATCTAAAACATTCTAGAGAAAATATCCCAAAAATTATTGAGCATGCATCAGGATATCTAGAGAAAATAGTTGCAGGTCAGTTGCGTGAACATCTACAAATAAATAATCTGAAGAGTTTCAGTCAGGGTTTAGAGCTCATCATAGCACAGAAACAGCACTAGTAAAAGTTACCAATGATATTCTCATGGCCTCTGACAATGGACTTGTGTCTCTACTGGTCCTGTTAGACCTCAGTGCTGCATTTGATCCAGTTGATCACAATATTTTACTACAGAGACTTGAATATGGTGTTGGGATTAAAGGAACAGATCTAAAGTGGTTTAAATCATATCTATCTGATAGATTCCAGTTTGTAAATGTAAATAATAAATCTTCTTCATACACCAAAGTTAGTCATGGAGTTCCTCAGGGCTCAGTGCTTGGACCAATACTCTTTACTTTATCTATGCTTCCTTTAGGTAAAGTTATTAAACAGCATGGGATAAATGTTCATTCTTATGCTGATGACACACAATTATATTTGTCCATTAAACCCAATGAATCCAATCAGCTACTTAGACTACAAGCATGTCTTAAAGACATAAAAACCTGGATGACCCTTAATTTTCTCCTGTTGAACAGACAAGACTGAGGTTTTGGTTTTTGGACCCGAGCACCTTAGGAATGAATGTTTCAGTCTTTCTCCCTCCTTAGATGCATTAATCTGTCCTCCAGCTCTAATGTTAAAAATCTTGGTGTTATTTTTGATCAGGACACGTCTTTTATCCCCCACATTAAAAACGTTACTAGAACCTCCTTCTTCCACCTGCGTAATATCACTAACATTAGAAACATCTGATCTAAAGATGATGCAGAAAAACTGGTCCATGCATTTGTCACATCTAGACTGGACTATTGCAATGGTTTATTATCTGGGTGTCCAAATACTTCTTTAAAACGTCTTCAGTTGATCCAACATGCTGCTGCCAGAGTCTTAACTGGAGTTACTGGGAGAGATCATCTCTCTCCAGTTTTAGCTTCTCTCCATTGGCTCCCTGTCAAATCCAGAATAGAATTCAAAATCTTACTTCTAACCTACAAAGCTCTCAACATCCTAGCTCCATCTTATACTACAGATCTTATTGTTCCATATTTTACTAACAGAGCACTTCACTCTCAGACTGCAGGTTTACTTGTGGTTCCTAGAGTTTCCAGCAGCAGAATGGGAGGAAGATCTTTCAGTTCTCAGGCTCCTCTCTTGTGGAACCAACTTCCAGTTTCTGTCCGTGAGGCTGACACATTATCCAGTTTTAAAACTAGACTTAAGACTTTCCTTTTTGATAAATCCTATAGTTAGGGTCGGCTTGGGTTTCCTGAGCTGTCCCTTAGTTATGCTGCTATAGTCTTAGACTGCTGGAGGACAAACTGACCACACTTTTCACTCTGCTACTGTCTTTACTTACTCTGCTCAACCTGTTTTCTATTTGTAATTATTTTTTCTATCCTTAACATGTTTTTTTTGTCTTTCAGGTACAACTGGACCTATATCTGGACCTATCATTCTGTGTTCGTCTGTCCCTCCTTCCTGTCCTTTCAAACCAGCCTGTCAAAGCAGATGGTCTCTTGTCCTGATCCTGGTTCTGCTGGAGGTTTCTTCCTGTTAAAGGGAGTTTTTCTTTCCACTGTCTCCACTGTGCTTGCTCAGGATGGGAGACTGCAACGAAGCCAAGATTCATCTTGTCTGATGGATTCTTAGATAGAGAACTTTACTAACTGGCTTTTATGTGAATGTTCCTGTAAAGTTCCTGAGACAACTTTGTTGTGATTTGGCGCTATATAAATAAACAGAATTGAATATATATATATATATATATATATATATATATATATATATATATATAGTGTGAAACGAACTGCGAAGTAGCAAGGAACTACCGTACTTATATAAATATTTATATGTATATATAGGTGTTTTAAACCCTTTCCACACTCTTGCAATATTCCAAACAATATTTCTAAACTCTAAATTCTCTAAAAGACACAGAATGTCATGAGTTCAGCTTCCTGCCTCCTCTGTTCTTTGCCACCTGCAAGAGCTCTTGGCCACGCCCACTTCTTCGTTCTCCATGAGAACAGCTGATCAGGTGCAGCAGATACTAAATAATTTTAAATTATTTATTTAAAATAAAAATTCCATGCCGATCATGCGGCTCATCCATCTATCAGCCAATCATGTCTCATGTCCAATCTTATTTTGAAAAACCGAGAGCGAGTCCGTGATAAACGACCAGCGAAGTAGCGAGGGACTACCGTACTTTATTTATTAAACAGCAAATTGTATTTTTGTTCCAGATATCTGTCAGCCCACCAGAGGATAATTTTTTTGGACACTTAACATTTATTTTCTTGTAAAATTTTTGTCTCACATTTAAACATTTAAAACATGTTTTTTTTTTATTCCTACAAGTAATTTATTGGCGATGTCTCTGGACAAAATAGTGATGTTTTCTAGTCTGAGGAGCGTCTTCATCTGGTGGTGACTTTTCACAGAAGACATTAAAATGTTCTCGAACACAAAGAAAAAAGAAGATGAACTTTTTACCAGTTATACAAATCCTTATGGTTTATTCTGCCAATTTTGTCATGAGTGTAATTTTGATACACATGGTGAAAACAAATCTATCCAGATCTATTTGTCTCCAGTCTTTAGTTTCTAATGTCATTCGTTCATTCAACCTTTACTTAAACAGATAAATCACATTGAGCCTGGAAGACTCATTTACAAGTGAGACCTGTTTGGACAAACAATAAAGTGGTTAACTGGACACATGTAGGAGTTGGAGGCAAAAACAAATCCTATCAGACTTTTTTCTTGGCTGAGAAAAACCTCTAATATTAAAAAACACCTCGCACAAACAAGCACATATTTACGAAGACATTCTGCATCAGAGACGAGAGCGGTCAACAACGCTTCTAGATGCTCTCGAGGTCACTGTAATCAGTCAGTGTCCTCCGGTGAGATCCATAAACATTCTCGAGGTATGTCGAGAAATGGCCAAGGATAACCTCTATAAGAATCCAGAGTCCTGAAATGATGACACAAAGTTTATTCATCTGGTTATCAGTTGGAAATTCCTCAGGGGGTTGTGTCAAGCACAACAAATCCAGTAAATCTAAATAAAGTGGAAATATCCATCTAATAAATAAGTTTCTGCAAACGATTCAATTCAGTGTCAAAATTATTATTTTTTTTTTCTTTGTCAAACCTTTATTTCTCATAATCAGTAAATTATTTATCCGAACATAAAAAGTGTTTCAGTGTCACAATACAGATATTCTAGTAAAAAAAAAAAAAACATTTTAAATCTGAACAAAGTGATAATCTGTGGTTTAAAGTATACATCTTTAAAGAATGACTAAAATGAGATTTCTGAGAGTTTGAGGTATTTCAGAGCATTTTTACATGATTAAAACCAGAAGGTGGCGCTGGAGGACGGAGGAACGAGTTTGATCAGGGATGAGATTGGAGTTTAAATGCTTGTCACAGGAAATCATTAAATTAAGTCTTTAAATCTTTAATAATTACTGAAGTACCAAACAGGTCACATGACGACATTCATAAAACAGTCCAAATGACAATCATCAAACAGGACACATAACAATCAAACAGGACACATAACCAACAAAAATAAAACAGGTCACATGACAAAACAGGTCACATGATGACAGTCACAA